TTTTGGATCATTTATATAATCATCAACTTTATCAATTTTCACATTAACATATCCTCCAAATTTATTTCCATTTGTATCTTTAATAATAATTATTATATGTTTTTTATTTATTATTCTTTGTTCAAATACTGATGTATTCTTATTCCAATTATCAATACCTGAATCAAATAGTATATTGGATACTTTTCTTGAATTCCATTCTTCTATTCATTTCATTTATTTAATTGTATTCATTCCTTCCATTATTTAATATTTTCCCTTGCTTGTAATTGCTGTATTGTGTAATCTCATTCTTCTTTCTTTTTATTAATTTTTCTTTAATTTTGTTAATTTCTTTTGTTAGTGTTTGATTTTATCTTTCATTATCACTTCTTCAATTGAAATGATTTTATTAATTATTTCATTCCGTGTTTTACTTAGTATTTCTTCATCGGAATTACATTCTTCTATTATTTTATTCTTTATTATTTCTATTACTTTAATTTTTTCTTGACTTTTTTCTATTATTAATTTTCTTCTTTCTGTTTCATCAATCCTATCAAATATTCCTTCTCCTCTTTTAATAGCTTCTGAATATGTTTCATTTGGTTTTATTTCAAATATTTCATTTTTAATACTTCCTAAATAATATTGATAATGTTTATTAATATCACCAATTGATTGTTGAATATTTGGAAGTGTTTCTATTTCTTCTTTAAAGAAATGAGTGTTCTTATTTATTAACTCTTCCATTTTAATTTAATTAATATCAGATCAAAATCAAATGATTAAATAATTAAATACACACTTATAATATAAATCATTTTAAGCTAAATGTATTAATTATTTACTTTATAATAGTTTCTAAATAATAAACAAATGAAACCAATTTTAAATAAACTGATTATTAACCATGAATTAAACAATAACATTAACTGATTCTTGGATAATATCTCTGATATCATTCTGTTCAAGGGGGTCAGGGTGTTGTTTGTTCTTTCCTGTTGCAAGGAATTCATTAACCATAATAGTAACTTCTTGTTCTTTTACTTGGACTTTATCCATAAATTGGTAGAGTAAATTATTAATGAACAAGCCAATTTCACCACTTTGGATATTTAATTCTTCGTATAGTAATTTCAATCTTTTACCACAAACTTCTTGTTTTTCTGATAATTTCAAGTAAGCACATGAAAATATACCACAAGCAAAACCATGAGAAATACCATAATGAGTTGTAATGTAATAACCTAATCCATGTGGAACAGAAGTACCTGCAACTGTAATAGCAACACCCCCAATGATTGATGCATTAATACAATCCATTTCTCTTACTTGTTGAACTCCAATTTTTCCATGCCTAAAAATCATTTGAATACCTTTTTTACTAACCTCCATAGATCTTGGAGTTGCTTTAACTGAGAGATAAGACTCAATACAATGAGATAAAATATCAATAACTAAAGAACATTGATATTTATCAGAAATATGTATTTGTAAATCTTTATCAATAACACATTTTCCTAAAAACATACGTGCTTTAATTGACTTTTTAGTGCCATTGGGTAAATTAAGAATAGAAAAAGGAGTGACTTCTGTACCGGAGCCACTGAGGGTTAAAATACCATTAACAGGAATTCCACTCCCATCATCCTTCAATATATCAACACCATTTTTCATAAGACTAACAGCTTTAGCAGCGTCTATAGCAGAACCACCACCTATGCCAAGAATAAAATCACCAAAATTTTTAGTTAAATCCACACATTCTTTAACAGAAGTGTAGAGTGGATTTGGTGTAATTTTATCATAAATGAAATAATCAACATTATTTTCTTTAAAAATTTGTTTAACAATATCAATAATTCCCAAAAAATAAGGTGAGTGAGAAGTAGTAACAATAATACATTCTTTTCCTTCAATAACATTAATAATTTTATCTTTTATAGAACCGTATATTAATTGAGTTGGACAAATATCAGTAAACATCTCTTGTGACATGAAAAAAACTTAAAAATTATATTTAATTATTAAGTTCTTAAAATGTGAATTTATAAAAAAAAAATTAACAGTAACACAAATACAATTATTTTTTTATAACCCACAACCCTGTATTTAACCCCCATTTTTATTTTTTCTATTCAAATGAAACAATGTGCAGTAATTATTTTTAATAACCGGAGAAAAAGAAAAAAAAAATCCGAGGAAGAATATTTATATAATTTTTATCTCTTCTTAGAATGTAAAATGTATTTTGAAGAGGGTTCTTACTTCATATATTTTATTGATCTATTGTATTCTATTCAAGAAAAATTAGTGCTTTAAGGAATTAAAAATGAGATTCAATAAAGTTTTAATAATATATATTTTTGTAAATCCTAAAGCTGAATAATTTTGATTTTTGTTTATTTTTGTAACTAATTCTTTTTAGTTCTTTTTTTTACCAGATAATTATTTTTTGAACACAATAAGAAAACTAAAAATACTTAAGACTTCCACGAAAAAAAAGTTGTAACACGAAAGAAATTTCCAACAGTGGATTTTATTAAAAAATAGGGTTTAAGGGAAGTAAAAGAAGGAGATTTGACTCTAAATAAATTTCTTTAATAAAAATAATTATGATGTTTCTCACAAGATTTTTCTAGTAGACAAATTCCAATTCAGGGGTTTTTGGTTTAACTAAAAAAAGGGAAGAACAAGTTATTTCTGCAATGAGCCAGAGAGAACGTGGAGGTAATAATGAGGGAATTTCTCAAGCCCTTTATTTAAAAAGACAATCTAAATCATGGGAAGCATTCCAACAATCAGTTTTAATGGGAATTTTAGTAAAAGAAGGATATACTTTTAATATTTCAGTTCCAGAAAAGTATAGTAATAAAGTTTCACATTTATTTAAGATTATTACTATGGAAAAACAAGGAGAATTAATTAAAATTGATGAAATAATTAGAAATGAATGTCAAAAACTTGCTTCATTAGAATCCAAAAAAATTTCTGATGCATCACAACTTAAAAGACATAGTTATAAAAATCGAGTATCAATGGGATTAAATATTTTGTTAAAAGAAATTAGAAAACATGGATATGATGTTAAAAAAAGAGGGACAAGGGGAAGTGTTTTTACTATTATTGCTGAAAAATTTAGTGAAATATCTTTTGATCAAAAAGTGTATTATGATAAAGCTACTATTCGGTCGTTAGGAAAACAAATTAATGATTATCTTCTTAAAAAATGTAAATCTATTGATAAAAAAGATTTAATTTCTTTTTCTATTGAAGACATGAATCAAATGAATCAAGTTACTCCTCATTCCATTAATACAACACCTTCTGCTTTTATAAAAAAACTTATTCATTTCAGTTCTTTAGATCAAAGTTTTAATATATGTTAATAATGATATATTATTTAACTTAAATTGAATTCAAAATTTATTTCTTTATTCATACTTTTATGAATTTAATTTATTCGTATTTTTTTTTTTTAAAGAAAAATTCTAAAACATTTTGAAATTTTGTGAGATATTAAAAATTTAAAAAAAAAAAATTCAATGAATTACAAAAGTTCAGCAAGTTGAACAAGTTGTTGTTTTCTTGTATTTCTTGCATTTGATAAGAAAGTAGTGTTATACATTGTCATACGTTCTGCATTAATTAATTTTTTTAACATAAAATCTTCAAATCCAAAACCTTTTTTCATCCAAGAAGAATTTAAGAAAGGAGGAAATGGCATATTATTAGGTTTAGTAACGACATTAATAGTATATCCTTCTTGAACAACTAACCCTTCATTCTTTGTTTTTGGTTGAATAATAAAAAATACATTATTAAAATGAGAAGTAAGAATACGTGGATCAAATGGTTCTTTTCTTTTTGGATCAAGAAATACAATTACAACAACATCATTTCCTACATGTCTTTTTCTTTCTAATTTTTGTGCATCTCCTTCTTGATTAGGTAATAATGGAGCAACATGAAACATGATACTATAAGTACCATTATATTTTTTAAAATAACTATAAGTACCAGTACATCCAGCTTTAGTATCTAATCCAGCAGCATAATCATTAAATCCTTTTAATTCAATTTTCTTTCCTAATGAATTCATAAAATTCCAAAATTCATCACAACACTCATCATTACTAAAAAATTCATTTTCTTCTTTTTGTCCATCTTTAACATAAATAACTCCAAATTTATATTTTTTGATTATTGACATGTTCTCAATACGTTCTAATTCTGACTCTAATTTTATTATATTCTTTTTATCAAATGTCTTTGGTTTTGATCGTTTTTTCTTTTCTTGTAGAGGAAAAGCTTTATCATATTTAGCAGGATCAACTCCTAATGGAATAACACATCTATAATTTTCTTTAGGAGTTTTGAGGATAGCTCTTTTATATTTAGTTGAAGTATCAACAATTAAAAGATTTAATGAAATAGGATCCATATAATATTTTGTTGATTTTTTTCCTTTAAAATAATGAGAGTAATAAGGAAAATCAAGATCAATATCAATAATTGAATATTTCATTAAATCAGTTAATTTCTTTATTGATGAGG